TGTATCCTGAGAGAAACGTATCCTTAACATTTTGTAATATATCCTGACAAACTTCAAGATATAATTTCTAAAAGGCTTGAGAATTATCCTGATTAATAATTAAATTAATAGGTAATATTTTATCATCATGTCATTATTAGTGCTTCTGCTATACTTTAAGAATGTGTTTGAAAAACCAATTGAAAGTACAAGACTCTTTCTGAAATTAGTCAATAGCAAACAGTAAAAGTTACTCTGTCTTTTATTGCAGGAATCAATTGGCACCATTCTCTAATTTCCTGCAAGTTTATTAAGAAAGAAGATCCACTCGGAAGAAAGACATGTGTCTTTATTGAAACAATAATTAATATTGCTAATCAATGAAGAAAACCTGAAGTAGGCTAACGGCATCAATAGATTAAAATAACAACAAGAAATAGCTCGTTAGATGTTGAGGCATAACGAGGTATTTTAATTAATATTGCATCAATAATATTAAATAGTTTAAAGATTACTTTTTATTATCCATTTCTTTTCTTCTGAAAATATTGATATAAATATAATGTGAGGAATTAACGGATAATGAACATGGTGGAAGTGAATGAAGTTTAAGGTATATAGATAAATACATTTGAACTTGTTTGAAAAAAATTGATCAAAATTTACCTAATAATCATTATTATATACTTAATACACTTTCTTTAAACATTTCCGTCAGTTAGATAAGAAAATTTCTATAAAATCACTAGTAGATATAAAACCTTATAGTAACTTCTTATAAGGTTATCTTTTTCAAGTTCATGTCAAAAACTCTTTCAGCCATTTTTAACTTCAGAAATTAAATATATCTTAAAACTTCTTGAAACCTATTTAACCTTCTCTTAATTTGTATGGTGAGACTAAAATTTAAGAGAAGTAATAGGTTTTAATTATTTTTTACCAATTTACATCACTGTCGTTAAGCTGAATAGCAAACACAGAGAAGGTGCAAAAAAGTAGTACAAACTGCATTCAAAACTGTAGGACATAAGATTGAACATCTCATTTCAGTAATGTTTTAATATCATATTGCCTTTAAAACTTCAACTGTTGTTGAAATGGTCATTAAAAGATCAACTGGAATTTTTTTACCAAAGCGACAGTTTTAGAAGGACTTAAAAAGTATTCTGCATTTCTGTTTAAAATCATTCTGTCAAATTTCAAATTTTTGAATTATTCAACAAAAAATGTTTCTTCTTTGTGGTCAGTTATTTTGGTGTAATAATTAATTATTAATTAAGATATTGAAGACTAACGAGGTATGATTAATCTATATTTAATCCTAGTAACAATTATAAAGTGATATTTCACATCAGGTTATTAATTCCAGTACTAATATCATTTTTATTATTCCAATTTTCTCTGATTTATCATCTTCAACATCACAAATTACTTTCTGGATTATATCGAAATTTTTTCTCTCGCTTTGATCATCATAGCAGCTTCAGACTTGTGCAATGTTCACGTTTTGTAACATAATGTGTTTAATGTAATATTGAATCTTAACATATAGTTTATTTGATGCTACCATTATACTATAAAACTGTTATAGATTTTAGGTAAGGTTTTATGGTGTAGATCATTGGATCTTGTGATTTTTATTATTGAGCAATCCAGTGAAGTTGATGTTGATATGATTTGCTATACATTACTGACAGGGCAGCGCAAATATCCGACAATTCCAACACCAGTGGCAGCTCTAGCCTTCCCAGAAACTTATTGAAAATCTAATTGTTTTTGTGCATTCTGACACATATTTTGGGGGTGCAAACCATTCCCCCCCCAGGTTGATTGTCTGAAGATAGTACATCATGAACTCTGAGTAACAACATGTTAATATTTCTAATATAAAAAACTCAGTTTAATAACGAGGATATTTGGTTTGTGCCTGTTTAAAAATAAACTATAGTAATATTGCTATGAAATGAAAATACTGGACAATATTCAATAACTCAAACTGTTCTTTATCACAAATACACACATAAAAGAAAAGGAAAAATTAATAATGGTCTCACTCTGTCATTTGTCAAGACATCACAGAGACAAGTTTTTGATTAATTTTTCCCTTTTTTTTTTCTAGAGTCAATAAAGAATCTCATTTCATCAGTGATGTCCAAAATCAGATGGAATTCATCCTAAAAACAAGTACTGTTGAACAGTCGTCTTCAAGTCTTGTATGGCTGAAGTCCCAAATATTTGGTTGTTACATTGTTTTAACTTTTGAGAAAATGTAATGCCTTAAGTGCTTCAATTTTACGTTTTATAAATAGATTGACAACAGATTATCGTTGATGAGACTGTCATAGAAATATTTCCTTCATTGCACATAGCATGGTGTGTCCTCTAAACATAAGCAATATCAAAATAATTTTTTCCACAAAATGTGCTCACAAAATGTTAAAGATCCATTGACAGCAGATTCTAACTAGTTTTAATTGTATTTACACAGTTTCCCTCATTGTACACAGCATGGTATTTGCCATAAAATAGGGAAAAATGAAAAAATGTATGAATGCAACTTTGTTATAGAATTTTGCATAAAATTTGATGTCATGTGAGCTACAAATTGCACATGTTACAGTTCCATTGCAAGAAGATTATCAGGAAACTGTCCTTGCAAAATTTCCCCCATTGTAGACAGGATAGAATAACTCTAAGGCGCAGAACAGTGGGAAGTAAAACTCAGATCTAAGTTGCTTGACATCTGACAAAATGACCAAAATACTATCCAAGAAATGAAAGAATCTAACTAATGAGTCTATGATACTTGAACTAACTTCAATTTATTATTTTTTGTTATTGAACCTCTTAACCTTAATAATCCCCAGAGTACCATCTGTGACCAGCTAGAAAACCTTGGTACATTCCAATCTCACTTTACATCTTTACTATTACATTTCTTTTAAAGGAGTTGTACCAGATAAATAATCCTATATCAGAGTCTTGGTGTATTTTAGTCACTCTAGTGTACTAAGCAGTTATATTTCATTAAAGGTGCTATGTATAACAGAGTTACAATATCAGTATTATTTTACATTAGAGGAATTGTACCAGATAGATATTTACTTCAATATCAAAGCCTTGGTTCATTCCACACAATTTAGTCAACTATTTTAAAGGAAGTGTACCAGATAGATATCTAATCCCACATCAAAACCTTGGTGTGTCACAATCTAGTGAACTTTACAATAAGATTTTACAGAAGTTCACAACTATTTTGAATTTTCTTATATTTACTGAACAAGGGTTGTCATAGCTTCAAACTTCCATTCAAGGTCAGAATTGAAAATATTCCAAAACCTTAAACCACTGAAGTTACATACCTTCCTTACAGAGTACTAATAGTTTTTCTGACTCAAGCTAACTGACATCTATCAAAGTTATCTATAATCATCAGATGTTAAGTCTGAGTTAGCAAGTTTCAGTCTGACTTAATCCAAGCTTTAATACTTCCTCTCTGCTGTGAAAAATTTGAGCCAGTCTTTATCAAAATCAACAAATATCACTTATTTTACTAATAATATAATTGACTAAGATTACTGACTGACCATTACTTCCTCTTGTAAAATAATGAACACCAGATAGAAATTACACCTGACATAGGTACCCACACATAGGGGTAAATGGGGTCACCTCCCCCCTCCCTGAAAAAATGGATAAAATTTAAAAAGCCCAAGAATACAAAACTGAGGAGTTTACATATATACTACATATCTATTCTGAGATACTTCATAATGCATTAAGGTCAAATTTTCAAAATTTCAAAAGTTTCTGTGCCTTCAGTGGCAAGGGAGAACCCCTATCTTCGATCCCCCAAAATTCTGTGGACACCTTGGCACCTAGGTTTTGGATGCTATGTTTTTCACATAGTGAACACCATACAAAAATAACACCTTGGTTTTGGGTGCTCAGTTTTTCACATAATGAACACCATACGAAATTACAACTGGGTTTTGGGTGCTTGGTTTTTCACATTATAAACACCATACGAAAGTTCAACCTAGGTTTTGGGTGCTCGGTTTTTCACATAATGAACACCATAGCTGCAGATACAACAGAAAATCCCCAATGGAAAGCAAGATAAGAACAGTTTTTCAAAATATTTTAAAGATAATCCCGCTTTTCTATGTACAGAATAATTATAGTTCAACCTGACTATATATGTATTCACTTACAGACAAGAAAAACAAAACGAATCTTACCAGAATTGAGAGAAATGGAGCTCCGTAAAGGTCAAGGTTAAAGGTTTCACCAATGAGCACAGAACTGGTGCATCGGCGATTGGGGACAAAGACACCATCATGGTATGTTAGTATAAGATTTTCTTGATGCAATTATTAAAGCGGAACCTACGTCGCATACAATCGAATTTTAACGAAGTTTTCGACACTCAAATTTTATCACCAATATATCAATATTAATAGTAGGTTAGGATTTTTTATGAAAAGGAACCAAGAGTTTTTCCTGACATTATTATAGGTGAACAGACTGAGTAGATACCAGACCATTTCTGCAGTTTTACTAACAGAATAAACAAAAACTCAACTTAATACACGTAATACGGTGAAATTATATTATAGTGTCTAATTAGTGCACCAAAATTTATACCCTTTCTGAATTACGTTGCACAAGATCTGTCAATTTGAATACAAAACGAGAGATGAATTTAATTTCTGATGTAAGGTCAGTATATATTTCATGTTGGAATTTGCATCTCAAGTTAGAATCTCAAAATCCACAGATATCACAGAATGAGTAAGTAGAATGGACTAGATTTATAAATGGTTTTCGCACCGTATTCCGTTGCCCACAAATAATTTTCATTACCTTAATCTTCAGTGTAAAGTAACTAGGAAGAAAGAAAACTTTGGATATTTAAAAACGATCAGTTTTAGAAATAAATATTGACCCTGCGATACACACACCAGTAATATTTTGCACCCCATTTCACCCCTTTTCGGTTTTACAAGAAATAAACTTACCGTCCAAGCAAATTCAAAAGGTAATTTCAGCATGGCTCTGCTATTTCCACTTCTGTAAGTAAAGGAATTTCCACCCAGAGCCACCGTAGACTGATTCCCAAACGTGCAGGTGCCCGTGGTGGTCACTCGTTCCTGATATTCCTTCAGGCAGACCCGGAAAAATGTATTACATTTCTCAGAGCAGGTACCCCTATAATCATGTCTACCCCCATTACAGCACGACCCGTCCGCTATCTCTCCCCTCGGGTTGGATACAGAATTAACTTGTAAATGAAAATATCCCGAACCATTACACAAATTCACAATTACAAGAAAAATGCAAAAATGCAATGGAAACATATTTTTGATGAAATTCCGCCTCCAGATTTTTGAAGAAAAACAAATTCAACTTTCATCGGGCATAATTCATTAGAGTTCCACCGAACGCAAACCAATTGCGCTCTTTTCATTCGCATTCCTCAACAGCGGAAAACTTTTTAGTTCCAGTCTACATTTCCAGAAAAATTCTAGCCATTTTCACGTTTCTTAATTCCATAAAATAAAGTTCCATTATAGCACATAGTCCAAAATAACTTGCTAAATCCAGAGATATTCAAAGTTTGTAGAAGTTTGGTTCGTAACAGCTGATTTCACGCGGGTATAGTAAGGCTACTAAATCCCTTTACAGTCTCCACTAACAAATAGCCGCTCTTTTAACACGCATGCGCATAATTTCCAATTAAAGGGGCTAGAAGTTGATTAATTGGCTCGAACACTTGCAGGAATCATCACATCATATCACGATAGTCCAATAATAACTAATAAATTCCAATACTATGGTATATCAAGCTGATATACCACGGTAATTCACAACGTCTATTGATTACAACGTACTATTTATCAATATACCTTTATAATACCTAGATCACGTGATCATAACAGGAGGTCGTGTGCCAGGCCAGGTAAAAGATTTTAAAAACAAGAGTACTATAACATTACGTTAACGGCACGCGCTTTACTACGTAATGGAATGCCTGAACTACGGTTGCGCGTGTTTGGCTAACTCAAGGTCACGAGAGATTTTTTTTACATCGAAATATAATCACTTTCTACACACTATTCTAGGCTACTTCAATGTCTAACATATTTCAAAAGTAACATTTATGAAATTTTGCAAATAAAAATTTGTAAAAATTCTAAAAAATATGTTCAAGGTTACTGTTTAAAAATTGCATTCTGCCGCATAACTACATTATAATTTGAACAGATCTTAGATATTTTCATCAAAATGCATATTATTTATCATGCAATAATATTGAGTAATATGATGGAATACAGACGTATATTGAACCACATTATATGAACTTCGGCACATAGGACTATTATTTTAATGAACCGAAAGTAGTAAATAAATTTCTACTAAAATTGGTAAAAATAGACGTTTGTTAGTAATTTGTTTTCTCTGATTGTCCAATAAATTCAGATACACAACTTCAATATGTATTAGAAAAATTTAAATATGTCAACTGAGGCGAACGGCCCGAAGACATGTTGGGGGTCAGGCTGGTATGGCCGAAATATTTTACCACGAATGCCACCAGTATTGTTGTTTTCGGGGTTTTGCCCGATATCCCCCCCCCCCCCCCCCC